TCCGCTATCTGCTATCGGTTGAATTTTAACTATTATATTAAGCAGGCCCTTGGTGTGATCCAACCTTTATTGCTATTTTTTTTTAAATGTGAAATATATAATAGAAAAGTAATTTGCAGAGTTTGTAGCTAGAGTAGATAGCACATTTTATTACTATTTATGAGGGATGGATTTTATGAATTTGAGGTGATTCTCCTTGTACAAATGATCATTATCTTATAAGTTAGTGTAAACTACACTGTAAAATTACTTTCTTAATGCATAATGTACCCTAATAAGTTAAGTAATTTAGTATTAATTTCTTTTTATTAAAAATAAAAAATTTAAAATTTAAGTTATAGAACATACAAATGAGATGAGATGGGTTAAGTTGCATAACAATCTAAAATAAAAAAATAAAAAAAAAAAACACCCACAAAATGTGTACAATACAAATTACCAGTGTTTTTGGACCTAGCCTAGCCCGGCCAATTGAACCGGTTGAATCGGATCCGAGCTTGAAAATGGACTGGGCCCATATCTTAGCCCGTTTTGCAAGTTCACCCATTTTGGCCCTCTGGTGCCTGCCTAACCTATTGGAACTGCTGAAACCGCCTAACCCATCGGGTTGAATGAATTTGGGTTTTTAATGGCTAAATATTAATTAAATTAATTTATTTGATTTTTAATATAATTACCCACACCATTAACTTTAATTAGAAATTAAAATCTCATATCAATTAAAAAAACAAAACTCTTAGAGGATCGGGTATTCCTATTTCACTGCAAATTGAAAAAGCAAACCAAAGGAAATTAGAAACAAAAAAGGGCAAGGGAAGAGAAGAACAACACCACCAGACCACCAGTACCACGCACCAGTCACCACCACCGGCCTTTCCCTGCCCGATCTCAGCCACCTTCGTCTGCGACTTCCAGTCCTTTGTTTCTGTGCAGAAGAAAAACCAGAAAGCAAGCCCTTTATCAGAGCAGCGAAGTAGCGAAGTTCATCTCTGTGCAGAAGCAGCCAAAAAACAGAAAGAAAACAGAGCAGCGAAGTCACTGTCGGCCAACTGCCTCCCCAATCTCAGTCGTCGGCGACTCCACAACTGCCTCCCCAGATCTTAGCCCTTCGTCGCTGCCCTTCCTCTCCTTCTCCCACTGACAGAACAAATTTGCATTTACATCTGCCTCTCACCTTTGCCAGTCACCGTCTTCTCCTTCTTCCACAGTTCCACCAATAGATTTTGATATAAATGTAAAATCTAATAAAAATGTAAAAAAAAAAAGTTTTTTAGTCAACCGGTTGAACCGATCGGATGAACCAATTCAACTGGTTAAACCAGATCCGGTGGCCAAAATCGGTCAGCCACCCGGCCGGGTACAAAAACAATGCAAATTACATTTGTTTCACACGGTATACAAGAAAATCTAACAAAATCAAGAAACACTTCCATAAATCAGCGATGATGAAACTCTTGCTGAAATAAGCACCTATAAAAGAATCATGGTTTTGAATCTTTTGATAACAACTGAAAGAGAACGAAAACAATAGAAAAAAAAAATTAATCAACTAGTCCAACATGCGTTTTACTAATTATTACAACCTTTTCATGACCAATATCTAAAATTGAGGTCATTGAGCATTAAAAATAAAAAATGAAAAAAAAAACCGAATAAATTTCATTATTTTCTTTAGGTGTATGATTAATTGTGACTACTTTTTTACAAAGTGGTATGCAAGAGAGCCAGTTCTTTCTTTTCTCAGTCCATTGATTTCAATATTTAACGTAATAGTCTATTATTTTAAAGAATTTTCAAGGTTTACCTTTAGTATCTATAGGGAATTATTTTATTTATTTCTTTATTTATTTTGTTGGGTAAGTGCTAAGAACATGTGTATTTTTTTTATAGCAAGTTATAATTCAAAAATTTGCTTTATTAAATATTGATTTTTAAATTTTAAAATCAATAGTCTAATTCAAAATTTAAAACTCTACCTTATTAAATATTAATATATATATTTAGAACTAATTATATTTAAATATATAATTAGTTTTTAAAT